AAGGATTCTATACCGAGCTGATCTACGTCAACCAGGTAACAGTTTCTTCTTCGACTAAAGTGTACCGGAGGCAAGCTGAGATCTGATGAAGCGTGCACGTTCTGGACAAACAGATTAATTCCCTCACATATCTCTCTGTAAGATAAATCTCCATTTCATCTTAAAACTCTCCTCTATCTCATAAAATCAGTACAGATATTTTAGAAATATCTGAAGCAAAGTCCTCAATCACCGCCGCGTGATTGAAGTTCATTTTCTGTGAAACTTGTCTGTTATTATTTTCATATTTTGCCAAATTAATGTAAATGTTTGATGTTAAATTTTGATTCTGAAAATAAATGACCGCATTCATTTTGATGGGTCAAAGATAAATAACGTCTCTCGTTACATTTCTGTTAAATTCAATGCACGACATTACACAGTCAGAAAGATGAGGAACTCGTGAATATTGTATGCATATATATCTCGTATATTGTCGTACTACAGTCCTAGTGTGGATAGTTTGTTCATCAGGGTTCGGGGGATCATGGTGTTGAAGGCAGATGTGAAGTCCACAAAGAGCGTACGGACATAAGAGTTTTTCTGCTCCAGGTGGTTGAGCACAGTGTGGACCACAGAGGAGATGGCATCCTCTGTTGATCGGTTCTCGCGGTATGCATACTGATGAGGGTCCTCATTGATGTTGATGGTTGTTTTGATGTGAGTCATGACCAGTTTTTCAAAGTATTTAGCAACTATCGGGGTGAGGGCCACTGGACGATAGTCATTCAGACCAGTCACTGTAGAGCTTTTTGGGACTGGGATGATGGTGGCAGTCTTCAGGCAGGTGGGAACTGTCTCCAGGGTAAGTGAGGTGTTAAAGATGTCTGCCAGCACCTCGCAGAGCTGATCGGTACATTCTTTCAGCACCTTCTCAGGGATTTTGTCTGGGCTGGTTGTCTTGTGCGGATTAATCCTCCTGAAAGTACTCCTTACTTCGGCTGAGGTCACGCTGAGATGCTCTTCATCTGGTGGTGAGGTGAGTCTGGTGCTGGGGGTTCTGTTCAGGTCTTCAAAGCGTGCATAGAACTTGTTGAGGGCATCAGGCAGAGATGGGTCTTTAGGGCATTGTTCACTCCTTCCTTTATAATCTGTTATGCACTTAATGCCCCTCCACATGTTCCGAGGGTCTTGTGAGATGAATTGACCCTCGGCCCTCTGTGCATATGTGGCCTTGGCCTTCTTAATACCAGCAACCAGCTCTTTTCTTGTCCTACTCAGCTCCTCTGAGTTTCCAGACCTGAAGGCAGTGTTCCTGGCTTCCAGCAGGGTGCTCACCTCTGCATTCAGCCAAGATTTTCTGTTTGTGTAGCTTTTAACATTTCTGATAGTGGAGACGGTGTCCAAGGCCCTTAACCCCCATCTGCTCCCTAAAACAGGTCTCTCTTGAAAATGAGTTCTCGTGAGTCAATGAGACTACCGGTATAAATAAAGGGTAAATTAAATATTTCCTTCATGCTTGCTCAAAATGAGAATTCTGCAATGGCGTTAAACTCAAAGCAGTCTACTTCTACTCTTCAGATAAACAGTTAACTTATTATTTTATGGTGCAACTTGTTTTTCTTGATTTAAAGTGTTTGATTCGGGCAACAACTGCTCCATGTGTTGTTTGTGTAGTGAACTAGGCCTGATGTCAAAACCTTGACCTTAGGCACCTTATGGGACAGAAACTGTCATTTCATTGATTTGAGTCCAGAAATACAGGTTGACCCATCCTGAGACTTTCTTTCTTAAATTAATCAAGTGAAAGAAGACTACTTTCGATTATCATTACTATTTTACAAATGTTTGATAATCAAATTGTGTTAGTTCAAACAATGTTTACATGTTGAAGTGAACTACTCATTTTTAAATCAACTGTGAAACAGTAATAACGATTTTTAATCCTCATTCAAAGAAGAAATCAGGTTAATGATGCATTGTCTGATTTTCTGTCTTCAATGAGCAAGTGTGTAAGTTGGTCAAAGTTCAAGTTTCGGTCAACTGCAAGTTTACTGAAAAAGAAATGTCATTTTTAACTTTTACAGCAAGATACTAGAGAATTGACTCCACGAAGTCTGAAGTTCTTCATAATATCTTTTGTCTGTTCTTAAACAATCTTAATCTTTTTCCTTGACTTTTCATAACACCTTACATCACAAAACACACCTCTGTTTTGGTCCATCGACCAATCAGAAACTCCCAAATGAACCGGAAATAGAGCCCTTTAAATGTTGGTACTTTCTTGTTCAACCCAAAGAGAAGTTGAAGTAGATGGAGAGTTCTGCAAGAGGTTCCACCTCCAGTTGGAGCCGGGTGGAGAGTTTTTGCAGCTCCAGTCGTTTGGGAGAACAGAAGTCCAGCCATGATTAAAAGCTCTTCCGAGTCTTTTGGGATTATGACATCTTCCACCTCTGAGTGGAACTTCTGAAGGACTCCACTCATGTGAGTCCACCGTGAGCTGAACTGTTGTTGACGAAGTCGCGTCACCACTCCGGACGGTTCTCTGCCATCCTACGGAGACGCTGGACCGGTAGCGTAGCTGGAGCTCCGCTTTCACTGATTCATCGTCAGAGAGGTAGTGAGTCGAGTTGACTACCGAGCGTACCGAGGAAAGCTGGGTCGAATGGAGGGTGTCGTTCTGTCCAACACTTTTCACTCACACACACACCATCTCCCTCCCTCTAAACTTCAATCTTTAAACTCTTCTATCTGCTAAAAATCATTACAGATATTTTTAGAAATGTCTGAAACAAAGTTTTTCAATCACCGCCGTGTGGTTAATGTCTGCTGTTCTGCTGGAAGTGAGAAAACAATCGCCGTATTGTTTACTTCCTGTAAAAACTGATTAATAAGCTGTCGTTATTTTCAATTTTTGCCAATTAATGTAAATGTGTGATGTGTTAAACTTGATTCTGTTAATAAATGACCCACTGTCGTTGGTGAGTCAAAGATAATTAACGTCTCACGTCCACATTTTATTAAATTCAGATGCACGTCATTATACAGTCCAGAAAAATGAAAGAATCCGTTTTATCTATGAATATATGACAGCATATGTTCATACTACATTTGGCAAAACCAGCTGGTGCAGGGCCTCCAATTACAAACTGGTTGGGTACATTTGTTTGATGTTGTATGTTTTTTTTTGTAGTATCACAACAGATGTAAATTATTTAATGTGATTCTGGTGGATTTGATATCATGCTGTAGATAAGGTTTTATGGTTCAAGTATCTTTATTGTCAATCGCATCACGTGGTACACGAGGTGGAACGAAAGTTTGTACTGAAGGTCCGTGGTACAACATCCAATTAAAGTGTATGTGTTTAGATGAATCTCAACTCCTTCCACAGCAAATTTCCAAATTTAGAGATTTACTGACAATAATTTGTTTCACATGGTTTTCTAAAAGATAATGAATTACTTGATAAAATAGTGTGAGAATGTCATGGTAAAATGGGAATAAACACGCATTATTTTTAACTTTAATAAATGAGTTTTCTAACCAATTCTGCAGATACAGAGTGACTCGTGTGGGATATGGTTCCATGAGCAGTGCTTCAGTGAAGAAGTCCTGGAACGAGCAACAGGAAGCAACTGGAACTGTCTGTTGTGTTCTTGAAACCTCAGTTGAGTGCTGGAATGCTGTGAGCCTTGCTACCCTTCTACTGAGATGATTTGTTTTGAAAGTCAACATCAGATGTTGCTCAAACTTTTTGGGCCACATCTAGGGGTCTTCTAGAGTCAACCTGAAGTGAGAGTGGTTTGTGAAATCGTTCAGTTATC